CGGGTGTCTAGCGAAAGCCTCAAGTCTAACAAAGCAGACAAAGTCCAAGCGCGTACAAAACGGTACTTTCCCCGATACATCTCCAACGGCCGACGCAGAGGCCCGTCTTCTTTTCGATCCACCGGCCGTCGCTGTTCCCTTAGGACAATGCAGAAGAGAAGAAGCACCCGTGGCCCATCCATCAGCCACGTTCGATGGAGTAGACCCGCGTGTTCGATGGAAAGCGAGGTGTCCAACTCCGCCAAAATATGGTTCTGTTGCTGTGTATGTAGTACGGTACACGGAGAGGAGAGCGACCTGCGACGCGCGTCGCTCATTCAGCAGGCTGCCGCCGCGTCCCATCGATCTGGCCGGGGCCTCGACGCGGTAACGCGGACCGACCCGGCCGGAAGGGCCGTCAGCATCAAACGCGTTCCTCGGGGGTAAAGACCTTCCGCCATAAGCGAAGCGTCAGCGAACCCTTAAATTGACGATCGCAAAGACATCTACTCGGCGAGCGCCGGAAGAGAATTTGGGAACTTCTCCAAAGTGGTAATCTTTCTCGCAGACGTGAAACGGGTGGAAATGTGGAAAGCTAAAATTGTGTTTTTTTTTTTCTTGTATAAATTGGGGTGAAGTTGTTCAATTGAAATTCGCAGTATCGACGCGGTCAATACGTGACTTGCACGGGACGCAATGGCACCGTACCAACGGTCATTTTTTCTTGCCCAGGTAAACAACTTCGGTAGTATGAAGTATGTGCTGAAGAAGGTGCGCCCGCAGCAGTGGCCGCTGGTGTCGCATCGACGCAAGTAATTTATTTCAGACACTGAGAGCCTCAATCATCTCGTCATCGATGGACATCCAATGAAAAAATCGTAGCATCGGCGTTTAAAAGGGCGACGAAACGATATTGGGCGCGAATTTTAACCGACTGGATGTCCCGTGGTGCGATAAAAAAGAACTCGCGAGGGCAAGGCCCTAGGGACGTTAATTTTGCTGGAAAACTGCGGAAGTAATGATAAGATTCTCTCTCACGTTTTTGTACCGCTAACCTTGCAACTGTTGCACTAGTGGTAACTCTGAAGGCTCACTCACACTGCCACATTTTCTTACGTTAAGTTACGTTACAAAATATTAAGTTGAAGTCACCGGGACCTCTGTGCTTCATATTAAGCGAGGCTACCAGTTCAAGGAGAAAGCATTATACGCAACATTTGAGACACGGATTTTTCGGTGACTTATACGTAACGTAACTTAACGTAAAAAGAAGGGGCAGTGTGAATGAGCCTCAACCCAACCCTGCGCTTCCCACGGGCTTCAAGTCCTCATGAAATGCTTTGATATTCTGGTTTTCGATAAGGCTCAGCATGTTTCTAACTGGAACCCAATGTTTACTTCCAATACTAAAAGTTAATGAACTAACTCCAGTTAATTATCCGCTTGTTATCGTGATGATTATATTTCCATATTATGCCGCCTTGACCGTATAGCTCACGTGCACAAATCACGTTAGTGTACTTTGCACGGCCTTTTTTTTCAAATTAATATGGTTCAAGTCACCAGGCTCAATCTAAAATGGACCGTAAAAATCGACGCCTGCACGTAACAATCTACACTTTTCGTCAAAGGTGGAATTCACAGGTCGGTTCCTTCTTGTAAAATTATTAGGTGTAGCTCTCTTTCTGTAAAAAATAAGGCGCAGAACATTGCCAGGGTCTACGGCGGGCAGCAACGCAGATGACAGGGGACCAGTAGCGGGGTGTGTTTGGCGTTCGAATTGATAGATGGCGCTACCTCCTTATCGCGACGGCTCGCGACCACCGTGGTTTAAAAAAATGAATACAATCGTTTTGAAATGTACCCTCGGTTAAAAAATAAATGCGAACAATAAAAGTAAAACTTAAAGTAAAAAAAAATCGTCTGCATAACGGCGGCGCTTTTGCTACCAACGATTTCGTCTGCGTGTCGTCTGCTATCTTTCGCTGTTCGGCTGCGCCTTCAGACGCTGCTCCCGACGCCATCTTTCATTACGAACGCCAAACACACCCCGCTACTGGACCCTGTCGTCTAAGTCGCCTCCCGCCGTAGACCCTGGCAAGTTTCTTGGCCGTATTTTCGACTGAAAGAGATCTACGCTTTGTAATTTTACAAGAAAAAAACGACCTGTGAAATACACCTTTGACGAAAAGTTTAGATGGCTACGTGCAGGCGTCGATTTTTACAGTCCATTTTAGATCAAGCCTGGTGACTTGGACCACCCTATAGAACACGCATTATTCTTTTCTACATGTGTGTGTGTGTGGGGGGGGGGGGGGGGAGGGTTGTTACAAGTAAATAAATATTAAACAGCAGCATAAATTAAAAGTACTTATTTTTCAAATAGGAAAGCATCATCTAGCAATTCCTTTAACTTATCGACCGCTGAATCCAATCCCTTGATGCACTTCCCCAAAAATCTACATTGTTACAAGTCGAAAGAGGTACATATTTAAACCCTTGTCTTGTTCATTTTTTTTTTGTGCACTTGATGTCATAAGCATTATCTCTAATCGATTCAAACTTCTTTTGTTTGTTTTTTACTTACGCTGTTTGTGGTGCGAGACGCCAACATGCGTTCACGTACGTTTTGCCACTCATTCAGAGGAGTGATTGGACGTGAAGGCCACGTGCGCCTGGATTAGCAATGCTCACAGCGCCTACCGAGTTCCGGACATTGTTATGGTTCAGCGATATCTGTCACCGCACTGACTGAGCGACTCTATACGCCTCGCAAGTGGGCTCATTTTCGTGTTCTGCGCATGAGAAAGGAAGTAGCGGTGACGTCAGAACGCCGATCCCTGATTGGCTGATCGCGACCCCCTATCTGAGCGTCGTCTGCTCCTTTGCAACGTCGTCTGCGTCTGTCTTACCTTTCCTGCGACTTTCGGAAGTGCAGGTCTTTACGAGCGAGCTCGACTTCGCCTTTCAGAGAGGGCAGACGAAATAACTCGAGCGGTACGTTGTTTTTGTCTAACAACTAGCAGACGTGCATCAAGGAGAGAAGTCAAGGGACTCACTGGCAAGCTGTCCCGAGGCGCCGAGGTTTGTTTGCTAAGAACTGAGAGTGAGGGTGGTGAGAGTCCGCAAGTTCCCTCCCAAATACTTTTTCCCTCCTTTCGTGTGCGGCGAGACTCCTCACTCTTTAACGGCGTCGGCGGGTTGGCGCAGTTGACGTCGTCTGCTTTACGTCTGCTTGTCGAAGCGATGGCTGCTTTACCTTTTCTGCGTTTGTTGGAGATTCACCGCTTTTTTACCGCCGAGAGTCACCGTTGCCTCGGGAAACAAGGAGATGACAATAGGAAGAGATTGACCTCTTAATCTAAAATTGAGGTCAGCGATCAAAGTATAAGACGGGAAGGGTTGACAAGGGTCGCGCTGGCATATTCCATTCAGCACGCCAGTCGGTCGTGGGCAGACGGTCGCCGAGTCGGAGTGCCTGCTAGGCCTATCTGCCGTGCTCGCTTGGTCGTTGTCGGTGGAATCGTGGCCGTTGGAGCTTTTCCCGGGTGTTTGTGCATCCAGCGTTCTTGTTCGTCGTGGTCTGTTTCAAGTACTTTTTACTTTTTTCTTGCTGCTTGAAGTCGGGACGCGTGAGAAGCGCACGTAGAAAAATAAACGTCCGTTGGTCGTCGCGACCGCGACGCTGTCGGCCATGCTGTTTTGATCGTAAGAAGTGCGTAAGACAGCTTCGGAGCTGTCGTAGGATTTCGTCGTAACCTGCGCAAAACTTACGAAAATTTCGTTTCGTGAATACAAATTTGTTCTCAAGTTTTGTCTCACGCATATTTTTGGCGTAAGATCGTTTCGTGAACCCTCTGAACTTTCGAAAGTCGCAGGAAAGGTAAGACAGACGCAGACGACGTTGCGAGCAGACGCTGTTGCAAAAGAGCAGACGACGCTCAGATAGGGGGTCGCAATCAGCCAATCAGGGCTCGGCGTTCTGACGTCACCGCTACCCCCTGCGCAAGGAGCAGACGAACTTGCCCTCCGCATACCTGAGTGCAAACCCGGCGATACAAGCTGGAAGTTCGCTCGGTGCGTTTTGGCTTTGCAGTTGAACTCCCCGAAGCAGTGTGCGCTACTGGCCGTCATCATTTGGCACAGCGGAGTTGTCGCGATCATGTTGCCAGGTGTTTCGGCATAGAGAAAAGAAAAATAAGTTCCTATCTGTTTACAATTACACGACACAAACCGCGCGCTCTGCCTGATCACCTTTTTGTAGTTTGACCGTGCTGTCGCACACTATAACCTTGCGACGCTAGACGGGAAAGAGAAACCCTTATCATCTATACATGACACAAAGCCCTCTGCTGGCCGTGATTTAATTTATCATCCTCTCTGCTTGCCTCCTCTCCAGAGCTCGCTCTGCTGAATTTCCAACAGTGCAAGGCTTTCTGGGAGGAGCCCGTCCGGCCATTTTATTTATATAAAACCAACTATTCTCAATATCATTTTTTTTAATGCGACCCAGGGTCATTGCAGGGGTCGTTCCCAGATTTAAAAAAAAGAAACATTTCATTTGCGATTTGTCTAATAAACGTATCAAAACTTACATAAATTGGCACTTTAGAGTATAAAAATTACGTTGCTTGTTACTTTATACGGCGGGAAGTTGGTCAGCTCCAATGGGCGTCTGGTGTCTCAGTTGTAGATGGACAATTAAATTTAACCAGTGCAGTACACCCGCTAGCCCAGGGTCTTTAACGTGAATCACGCAGTAGTGATGCACGACCGCGCGTCCGTTCGAAGCTCATTGAGATCGAAACGGGCAGGGGTGGGGATTGAACCCAGGAGCCCTGGGTACTGCAGCACCAGCTTTCGCTCCACGGGCTCCCAGCTGCGGAGTGTTTGTGCAATGAACCACCGATACCCGAGCTCGTATGCGTAAGTGATTATATCATCTTATATGTTCTGATTTGTTTAGTCGACCCACTCATATAACTTTTGTCACTAGCTTAAAAGTCGTGGTTGAAACGTACCTCGTGCCCTCTGTTTCGAAAGCAGATTTCGGATGATGTTGTCGTACGAGTCTTCGGCCGCGACACCAGAGTCTTTGGTGAGCTTCTGCTTGATCGCAATGCAGATGTTCTCACTCTTGAGCTGCTCCTCCAGCTCGTTGAATGCCTGCGTAGACACGTGCATTCAATCATCAGCTGACACCTCTTTAAAAAATATAATGGACGGAAGCAGTACGCTGAAATTCAAACGCTTTTCAATATAGAGAGTTTAGTGAATCGTACGCTGTGGAAAGCAGGCCCAGCGGGCGTGTGCTCAATTCACGCTTCGATATGACGGCACGATCTCCCTCTAGCAAAGCGGACCTCTAGAGCACGATCTACTAAAGTGTCCTATAGTGCCACTGAATAAGCTACGCTTCAGAGTAACGACACTTTCCTATATTGTGGCGTAAATTCATGATTGCTAGTTATCTGAAGCTTTATCTCCAATCACAGGTAACGCTTTTCCGCCCCCCTAAAAAAATGTTTAAGCAGTTCACGACAGAGAAAAGCAATATTACATGAGCTTTCTAACCCCGGTATCTAATGCTGAGGAAGTCGTACTTTTGAATCATGAGGATCGGCAGTTGCGTCTGGTCTGGAGAAGCACCAAAATGGCGGCGCCCATAACAATGTCGGGGAACAAAGTGGCGATACTCTAAGTGCAGCTCATTTAGTGCCTTTAGGGTCCTTAATAGAGAGTGTTTGTAGTTCGTATTCTAGAGCTACGCTTGGCTAGCGGGAGTTCATGCCGCCATGAAGCATTTTTTCAGCACGCGCCGGTGGGGCCCGCTTCCGTAGAATATCCTCATTTATTCTTAAAAGCCTGTCCATAGACCGATCTCACTATTTGTTCGGCGTATGCGTGAAGCTGCCATAAATTTACATCACAAAAGGCAGACGGCAGTGCCCGAGACGGCTAGTGCCGTCTTGGGCTCTGCACGCGCAGATCTCCAGCATGGTTGTCTCACATGCAAAAAGACTAGTTCCCTCGATGCATTGCGGCAGAGGTGGCCTAAACAAATTCGCTGGTGAGGTTGGCCTATTCTCCGACGGACTTATGGAGTGCCCGGCCACCGGAAAAAGGCGAGAAGCAGCAGCGAATGGTTACCGATATAGTTACGCAGAGCCGCCTATAGGGTGTCCCCTCATCCAGCGCCACGTGGCGGCCCGCAGCTTCTCCGCGAAACACATGTGCGTTCAGATGTTTTCATTTCCCTCTGAATCATGTGCGCGAATGGCGGCGGAGCACCCGCTGGTGGCACGTGTCTTGCGCGTTTCCACAGCAATTGTTGGCGGCCCTTGCAAAAACTCCTTCATCGAGGGACTTACGGCACCCTTCTGGGACACCCCTGCCTAGGCGGTGTTGCCACTGCGCGCTTTCTCTTCTGCGTTCCTCCTTTACTCTTTACAACGGTCAGATTTTTTCGCGATTTGACTGGCTGTGAAGAATGAAGGAACCTATGATAAAATCTACTAATACCCTCTTCTAAATCTGATGTTATTGTGCTAATCATACCATTGAAATAAACAAACCGAATTCACATTACCAATAATACTTCAACTACATTTATTGCGATCGTTACTATAATTCGTACTATTATGATTAATAATATTACCGCATGATCCGCAGGGGCAAATCTTGGCTGAACATGAAGCGTGTTGGTTTATATATTTCTCACCTGGTGCTCAGTCCGCACCAATTGCCTAGTCTGAGCGCAAAAAAAAAAAAAAAAAAAAAAAAAAAAAAATTTCATGCATAGCACATTTTCACAGACCGAAATCCTGGTCAGTCGAATCGGCTCGGCCCAATACTTGAGAGCACCGTTAGGATTCGGGTCGGATTCGGGTCGGATACGGGCCGATTTATCCCGAACTGCTTCGGGCTGGGATCGGGCCTAGTTTCACTCTAAAAAAGAGCCCGTGCGTCTACTTTCCCGCACAACACTCGGAGAGCCAATCACCGCAACTGACGGAGGCAGCTCAGCGAATGACGATGCCTAAACATATGTTTAGACCAAAAAACGTAGTCTGAGTTGTGACATTAAGCAATGCAAGCGTGACATTTTGCATTGCTTAATGTCGCAACTCAGCCTCCGTTTTTTTTTAAATCTAAACATGTTTCGGCATTGTCATTCGCTGAGCTGCTCCCGTAAGTTGCGCTGATTGGCTCTCCAAGTGTTGTGCGGGAAAGTAAACGCACGGGCATTTCTTTTTTTTTTTTTGTTTTTTTTTATAGTTTGTCATTGGGACTTGACGACTGGGGCTTGCCAGATATTTCTGAATAGGGGAAAATATTTGTTTGTTTTAACACAAAAAGCGCCAATCTGGATATTGGGCCGGGGGTCATAAGGTTCTATACAAAGCCCGCTAGACTATGACCTAGATCTGTGGTTTTCAAATTGGTGGCAGCGGCCCCTTCAAAGGCCTTTCTAGGATCCGGGAAGCCTTGCTCATAAGTGAACCTGGCATTACACTTAATATTTTTTAGAGCCCAGCCCTTGAGGCCTGTTCACACATGCAGCGGAGCGCTACAAGCATAGCGCTGACTTTGCGCTAAGCGCGTGTTAACGGGAGCACTCACCAGCTTTCTATCGCACCGTCATAATTCCTGTTGCCCATGGTTGACGATAAGTAGATGACGGCACGTGAGCAGCGCTACATCAGCGCTTCGCTGCATGTGAGAACCGGCTTTTAGGCGCACGTTTCCGGCTTGAGCGGCGCGACGGCGGCGTCGGCGTCGCCATTGGCGTAAGAGCGCGCGTTGCAATATGGGAATAATGCAACCGGGCGTGACCGCGCGTTGCATTACGGAAAAATTTACCTGCAAAATTTAGCGGGAAATTTAGCGAGAATTTTTCGCTAAATGGGAGGGGAGCAGAAGGGGAGGAGGGGGGCAAAACCTCCCCTCCATACCCTCCCATCCTCCTCCTCAAGAGCGGCGCTCTAATTCGGCATTACAGATAATTGTATACGTCTTTAATTATTTTCGTATAGAGAACAGCTCTTGGGTGATTTTTGTTCGTATACGTCAATAAGAGAAGTGCAGTTTATACAAGCACTTAGCTGTATAATATTTTTTTTCCTTCATAAACTTAATTACTACAAATCTTTCCCTTTCCCCACCATCGCGGATTCACCACTTCTCCCGATCCAGAAGCGGTCCCTGAAACCTCAATGATTTAGGACCACTGCTGTAGACACAGTTTATAAAATAAATGACACCACTCCGCCAGACATCGCGAGTGTGTTGAGAAAACCCGGTGGGCACATGTCCTGCAAAGCACGCAGGAGTCAAGGTTTGCGAACTGCGAAAGGGCCATAACGAAGGGCGAAGCTCAGGATGGAGTTAAACCTGAAAATGGAACGTGCTCATTGCGCTGATAAAATGAGCATAACGTTTATTGATATTTTCTTTTATGAACATGTCGTATACTTCAAGCATAATCATATTCTCCGCTCCATCCTACCCCATCTTTCTTCGATGGGGGCTAAGTTCGACATTGGCGAGTTGATCCAAGAAGTGTTGGGTGGTCGCAGCGGGTTTGCCGCCCGCCGCGATTTTTCAGCAGAGCGCCTGACGTATTCGCGAATGCTCGGGAAACTCGCAAATAGATCGGTCGCATCATGAGGTAGATCGTCATAATTTTGATAGCATCTGCAATCGCATGAGGCGTGGCGCTGACCGATTGCAGCAGGAGCAAACTCGCCTGCCAACAAGCCGTCGTGGAACTTGGACCCCGTAGACGCGTTTCGCTGGAAAGTGCGTACAATTTTGTTTCCGTGTGTTATTTATTAAATTATTCATGCGCCGTTCCAACGTGTCTAGGGCTCAACGAGAACTAAAAAAATTAACCTGGTTATTCACTAAAGATTAACCGAATACTTAATAAATTAATCGATTGCTTTGACCTTTAGTCATAATATTCGATACTGTAAAAGGGCCGAAACATCACATTTTCTGCCTATTTCTTATTTCGCATCAATGGCGAAACAAAACAAAATCATTTGAAACACTCATCATCGCTCTAGAAACAGCCTGAGCAAATAAAATGTCTGTACAGACCTTTGAAAAAAATATGTTTAACTTCCGAGATTGGAAATTGTAGTTCAATAGAAACGGTATCACGTAAAACAAACGTAGAGCTAAGTGAAAACTCAGTCGGGCTCAGGCCGGGTTCGGGTTGGATTTACACTGAAAACAGCAGTCGGGTTCGGGCCGGGCTCGGGCCAAATTTGGTTTTGATCGGGTCGGGCTCGGGCTTACGTTTAGAAAGCCCGCTCAAGCTCGGGCCGGGTTCGGGCCCAGGCTTTATCGGGCAGGGTCGGGTCAGGCACGAATTCCACACCAATTGTTTTCTACTTCACACTACCAAAATTGTAGGACTTCTTCTAAGATAGCCGGGGATACGCTCTTAGAATGCGTTTTGATGAAACATATGAGCAGATTTCACGTATCGTGATCCCAGCTTCCTTTGACACACAACAATGCATCAATATTTAAACTCTGATCGCCCAGTAGTAACGATGGAAAAATATAGGTAGTAATTTGCACAACAAACATAGATACGCTGTTGGTTTTCTACACACACACACACACAAAAAGGCTTAGAACGAATCTACATAGCAGGAGAAAGGAGCAGCAGAATTTTGTTTCCGGATCATGGCTTATACCAATAAAGTTTGCATATCAAAGATAGTCTCTTGACAAACATCGACTGTAGAAGACGACAATGAGTTAGGTAGATCGACGACGAAAAATAAGGGATGATGGCGGGTACGGCGCTCCTTCAGCAAACGGAACTATCATGTAAATAATCTATATCAAACCTTTTCTTGATCAAACTACCTCGCAACAATTGTTCCCCTAATGTAACGCATATACATGGTGCCGAAACCCCGGAATAACTGAGCCATGGACAAACAAGAAGACTTCAAACATCCATCGTGAGGCCTGACGATTGTCCAAGGTACTTACAGCAACAAAAATGGATCCCCTAACGCCAGCAGCCCTCGATCAACTCAAAAGAAAAGCTGTGGTTTGGTCATCGGCTACCAGAATCATAATTGAAACCGTCGCTCCTCTAGCCATAGAACCAAACCCCATCGGTGAATTGAAAGGAAAAC